GAAAAATGAAAATGATTGATATATTTCATGAGCTGACTATGCACACATTTTTAAAGGAATTGTTTATGACGTTTTATGGACAAACCAATGATGGTTAATGATTGTGTCACGGTTAATAAATTTAGTATATCTGGTTTCACTGTAAATGTCAAGACTCTGGTGAGTTGATATCTTATTTTTAGATTATCTTTAGATTTGTGACTCAATTGCATTGTACTAGATATCTGTATTGTCATTCATTGTAGTTTGCTCATTGTTTGCTCAATACATTATTGAATATTTTAGACTTGTCTGTGTTCTATTTTGCTGATTCAAAGGGGACTCTTAAACCTTTTGTCTCGGCAAATTATTAACCGTAACAATTGTGTGGGTCAGAACCCAGGTTTTCGACGTTTTCACCACGGTTTCACCACCAAGCTACCACACCACCCCGACCACACAGCGCCTTGTTGCTACTGGATGACATTGAGTATGTATCATATGATTCTAAAGGAAGATGGGCTCACTTTCTGTATACACAGACCAACCGTGTAATAGTGACGTCGTTCGAGCATATCACAGTGTCCAACATGGTTGCACCGTAGTCTACATTTGTCTGGTGTTAAAAACTTTTGACCTATTCTTAATAATGACGAGAAGGCTCTGTATGTAAACTTTACAATGATAAATGTGCGCATAACGAGACTGACGTCAATAAAATAATACTTTACTTTCTGAAAACAGATCAGATTAAAATAGTCAAACAGGATTTTGTCTGATCGGGAGGATGCTCATAACGCTTTTGTTTGGTACATAGTATGTGTACTTCCTGGGTTTCCTGATGAGTAGTCATGGTTTCCCCTCATGTACATCTCTCACTTGTTACTGTTAAATAATTTGCCGTGACAAAAGGTATAAGAGTCCCCACAACTCACCAGTCTTGACATTTACAGTGAGAGCAGATATACTGAATGAAAATTCTTTACAATGACAAATGTTGAATATAGACGAGCAGGACGGTCAGTCTGTTGTTGAGCAAATTCGACGATGGCAGTCATATGTGTATAACTCCAGTGATGTGATAAGTCCATGTGTTAGTCCGGTGTCGCACAATACAACAACCAGCCTTTATATAGCTCTCACACAGACTTTAGAGAATTGGCGTAAAGCCAGGCGGCATCATTAACCTCTTAGAACATTAACATGACATGATGAAAGCCGTAAATAAGACTGCCTAGGGAGGCAACTTTGAAGCGCTATCAAAAAGGCGTACCGCTAAAAATAGTATTGCCATTGAACATATATCATGCGAAATGTGACCCACAACCCACACTCAAAACTTTAAACATTGTGACCCAATAATAACTATCACTTAATCAATGATATTACAAATTACATAATTCACACTCTCGTAACGCACTGTTTAAATAGATCGACAAAACACTTGATAAGAAAATACAAAACCATTAGAAATATTGCTATGAGTAGCCTCCATTGTGCGATTCTTACTTTGACTATGCCAAGAATATGTGTTCATGACTTGTTTTCAGAGAGTTTCTGTGCCATTAACTCCACGTGGAATATTTGTATGTCCGAGGGACCCGTGAAAAGTCGGGTTAGAATTGATCTTCCCATCAGTAACCCATATTTGTCGTAAGAGACAACTAACGGGATCGAATGGTCAGACTCGCCAACTTAGCTGACTCATGTCATCGTGTTCCAATTGCGTAGATCGATGCTCATGCTGTTGTTCACTGGAATGTCTGGTCCAGAGTCGATTGTTTAGAGACTGCCGCCATATAGCTGGAATAATGCTGAGCGCGGCGTTAAACAACCAACCAACCAAGCATTCAACACAGCGAATTTAGTACAACGATGTTAAAGTATTTGAGTTCTAAGTTCACAAAACGGATAGAAGGTTCATGTAGCTCGATGAAAAATCAAATCGATACACATGTTTGGTAACTTACGAATCACTGATTTTCTGCATATAAACCGATGTTCATCCGAATGCATTGGACAAAGGGAAGTAACTAGGTTCATTTGCATTGGGTTATATTCTATCAAGTTCAGGATAAGTGTAACGGCCTCACGGACATATATTCCGTACCTGTATGAATGAATTATGAGTAAGGTGAAGTCGTTATCAGGACTTGGAAGGGGGGAGAAGCATATGGCGTGATGAGCCTGAAGACTCGGGATGATGTGTATCTGAAAGCATTGGGTAAAGGGTAGGAACTGGGTTTGTTTGCGTTGCGGTTTTTTGTGTTTTGTTTAAGGCAGGCGTAAAATGTGTTTCCTTCGTTATCAACGTTGTTGGGGATGGGTGATGGCGAGAAGCATATAGCGTGTTGCGTATGTAACTCGGGATGAGGGGTACATCACTCCGTATATGTGTCCGCTGAGTGAGTGAGTGAGTGAGTGAGTGAGTAAGGTTTTACGCTGCTTTGATTCCAGTAATACCATGGCGGAGGACCCCAGAAATGAAATGAATTATCTGTTTACAGTGACCGTCCAAGTAAACAGTTACCGTCCACGTAAACAGTTACCGTCCACGTAAACGGTAGGATGACGTACAGACGAACCCGAGTCTGACCACCGTACATACATGTATATCATAGTTTGCTGGGGGTCTATGAGGTCTCGTAGTAAACCGCGGGTGCTATTGAGCGATTCTTAGTCAATGTTAACATTTCTCAAAATGTTTTCTCTGGATGTTTTCATATTCACTAGTGCTGATTGGTCTATCTCAGACAGTGTTTCAAGGTTTACGGGGGTTAGGTAGTCAATGAGACAACATTACCTTGCTGGTGTGAATGCGATAGGGGAGCATGCGCGATATAGATGGCTAGTTCCTGTGAAATAAAAAGATGACCGCATCGTGCTGCTGTTGACTGTGGAGGGCTACAAAGCGCAACCATTTTATCGTACGCTCCTGTACGCCTAATCCTGTTTTAGTGTTAGCTCATTACGTCCATAAACCAGATTTATCCACTAGCAACACACTTGGTTTTATATCGGTAGGTTTGGAACATAAAGTAGCACATGTGAAGTTTCTATTTTTTGTTTAGTTTATTCACAGAAGCTGCTGAAGTGACCCCAGAATCACTTGAATTGTGCGACAAGAGAGTGGAGGAAGCGAGGTTCGACTGTGTACCCTCAGTATTCACTGATATCCCTAGGACATAGTGAACGCGAAGATAGATCTGAAGTAATGCTGCAAGAAACGCTTCCCATTATTTCATTGTGTGTTTTTAACTTGCCCAGTTTGTATGTTACCACAGTGTTTACTACACTATTGCGTATTTCTGAGTCAGTGTATCAGTGTATGCACATGATGTAACAGACAGATTCTGAGGAAGATGTGCGGGCATAAGAATACTGACCATAGTGTACCTTGAAAACCTCAGTTGTTACATCAGGTGATTCACTGACAGAGAACAATCTGCGCTTATGGGTATGAAAACATCCCGAGGAAACAAAATGACTCAGAATTGTCAAATACCAACCATGGCTTACTTCCAGACATCGAAGGACACTTGTATATATAGACTGGTGAGACTTGGGAACGTGGATGTCGGTACGTCATCCTACCGGGGCACGTGTACCTGTACGTGGACGGTAACAACTAATTTGTCCACAGCAAATATATTTCTTTCATTTTTGGTGTCCTCCGCCGTTATATTACTGGATGATGCTGATAGCGACATGAAACTCACTCACTCACTGGATACATATACGGAGTGATGTACCCCTCATCCCGAGTTACATACGCATCACGCTATATGCTCCTCACAATCACCAAAAACGTTGATAACGACTTTATCTTACTGACATTTATTCATACAGGTACAGACGTATGTACGCAGCTTTACTGAGTTTTGGAAACACATTTTACGCCTGCCTCAAACTAACACAACACAACACAACGCAAACAAACCCAGTTACTTCCCTTTACCCAATGCATTCAGATAAACATTTGTTACAATGGAGAACCACGGTGATACGTTTGCGAGATAATGTTACTTACGTTACCAAACGGGGCGGTGGGGTAGCCTAGTGGTTAAAGCGTTGGCTCGTCACGCCGAGGACCCGGGTTCGAATCCCCACATGGGTACAATTTGTGAAGCCCATTTCTGGTGTCCCCCGCCGTGATGTTGCTGGAATATTGCTAAAAGCGGCGTAAAACCAAAATTCAGTCAGTCAGTCAGTAAGTTACCAAACATGATTTTGGATTTGATTTTTTTATCGGGTTACATGAACTCTGTGCCCCTTCTGTGTTGCTGCGTGTGGTGTGCGTGTGTGTGCGTGTGCGTGTGCGTGCGTGCGCGCGTGCGTGTGTGTGTACTTGTATGGCCATGTGATGACATGACGGTAATATTCAGCTTCTATCGCAGGGCAAGTGAAAACGTTTAATATAAAGAACATTCCTGTCCTTGTCCAGCGAACTCCACAGACAGAAAATACAAACTAGCGTACAAGAACATAACATACACATTATAACCTTCTTGAACAAAGGAAACTACAGTTCCGAACAAATTTGAGCCACGAAGAATCAATCAAGGAGGTAACTCTAAATACCACTATCATGACATCTGCTATCTAGGATTCGAACCCATGATCATTGAGTTCTGACATCACTAAGTAACGCCACTCAGCACAGCAAGTCGTGGCACTTTGACGGCAGGGTTTCCTGTTTCTCTTAAGTACATGGTTTGTTATTGATGGCAGTCATATTATTTACAGGATACCCGCGAAGATCCGGGTTAGAATACCTGGGTTAGAACTCATCCTCAGCAACCTGTGCTTATCATAAAAGGCAATTAACGCGACTGGGTGGTCAGCCTCGCTGACTTGGGGACACATGTTATCGTTTCCCACTTGCGTACATCGGCGCTCATGACGTCAATCATTAGATTGCCTGGTTCAGACTCGAGTGTGTACATACCAATGTCATATAGCTGGAATATTGCTGAGTGCAGCGTTAAAAACAATAAAACAAACAAATCTACAGGAGCAAATGGCGACAAAGTTCAATTTATTTATTTTTAAATGTACAGAGGTCAATTATACCCATTTTCTAGGATTTCAAAGTTGGTCTGAACTGCCGGGCAACAGAAAGTATACACGCATGTTTATTGTTGGATAAACTTTACAAAATGTTCGACACTTAATAGTATGTACTTCAAACAAATTCCCAGTTTGTTTTGGAACTTGAATGTGTAGTGTTTGGGACACTGTTAGTTACTTAGTAACGTTTTGTAAGAGTTTAGTTTAAGCCAATCTTTAAGTGTTGATTTCTTTTGCCCGGCAGGTTTTATTGTCGGTTGCACAAATTCATGTAATCATATTGTACAGACTGTTTCAGCATTATGATGCACTCCCAACTCGCGACAGTGAAAGATGCGTACAGAACACAAAGCATTCGTCACAATCTTTACACAATACATTTATCTCTTTTACATTGTTTCTGATTTCAATGTTTGTGTGATATTCATTTAGACTGATTACAATCTGATTGTTAACTGGTCCATAATTAGCATTTAAAGAGCGTAAAGGTTTTACACGAATATTTTGGTGAGAACAATGGCCATCAGCAGTGATGAAGCTGACATCCACACTCTCTCTGAACCTGAAACACAGGAACATGCAACATCAGCAGGACGGTAATATGGTTCCTGCAACGTAACATGATTATTTTGAATTTGAAAAAAAAGAATTCAGAGAAGTTGGAAAATAAGAGAAGTGAACCAAAATTATTGCCATAAGGAAATATTGTGGTGTTTGGTAATTGAAGATGTTAAACGTGACGTGTATTGTAATGGCTCCTAACCTCCTATTTCGCAACGTTATGAACATCTTTGAAATGTCATCTTTGTGTGACAAGAGATAATAAATGTCACAAAACTTTAACGGACGGACGTTTAACACCTTCACAATTGACTTCAGCATCTAATAAAGAACAAATTATCAGAGATGTTCATCTAGCCAGTCGGGATAGCTTTAACAATTTATCACTAGCCCGATTCACAATCAACTGGCATTTGGATAGCGGGCCAGTAGCTATTTCGACAGTTGTATACAACAGACAGTCATTGTACGAAGCAAGGGTATTGCTATGATTGTCGACCGTCCATACTTCTTTGTGAAACATACCCCTGGTCGGTGGCGTAAGGCGCCAGAACCTCAACGCCTCGTGCAGAAGCTGTTGATGGAAATAATCTACCTGTACTTACCGCAGCCTTGCAGCTTTAAGGCTTCTGTTACAGCATCAGCTGCTTCACAGTCGCTACCCAAACAGTCTCGGTAGGAGTAACCGGCGCTGAAATATGTCAACAAACTAAATGAGTATCGGGCTTATAGACATACACCTCTTGCGACAGGTGCGACAGCCTGTTACCACATACTACATGATGTGTTTGCCTTGAACTACCTGGCATCACACTATGACAAAAAGCAAAAGACAGATAACAGACTTAAACATCCGGTTTATTATACTATGGCCTTATATAAACGTTTTCATATATTTGACAAGTAGATTTGGCATTCTTTTTAGAATAAAATGTTCATCTTCCAGAAGTCAAAATGTGTTTCTCAAACGAATTTTGGACCAGATAACCTTCTCCAGCGGGTCTCAAAACCTAATGCTTCAGCTGCGATGGAGAAGCTGTGTACCTGCACATCCTGTCCTTGTCTCCACTAATTGACGCACTCACCACTCTTGCGCTTCCGATACACAGTCAATGTTACATCCGGTTGCAAAACCCCTGAAACATAATCACTAGTTATAACTACATGTAGTTAAGGCTGCTTTCTGCATATATTTGGAACATGCGTTACTTGACCTGATAAGCATTAATCTGGGAGTGGTAGGTGAACAGCAGGGAGGCAGATGAGGCCTGTACAACCCCAATATGTTAAAATCAATACAATATGTAAAAACTAACGCAATATGTAAAAACTTAACGCAAAAGTAAAATATAACGCAATATGTAAAAGATTAACGCCAAATGTAAATAATGTCTTTAACGCAATATATAAACACCTAACGCAAAATGTAAAAAAATGTTTAACGTAATTTGTAAAAGATTAACGGAATCTGTAAAATACAGCTTTTTTGTTGTTTATGGTTTTGGCGACTGAAATTATTTTTTAGAAACTTTACTTTATTGTTTTTCAAAATAACTAAGCTATTGCAAAATTTCTGACAAAATTAACCTCATTTCTAACTTAATTGATATCTGTTCTTTTGGGTCGTTTAACATAAAAGTAAAGCCGATAATTGTGTAACATACATGTAAAGCTTGATATCATAATCTATATTCGACAGTATCCAAGGAAATCATTTTATTCTCCATAGTATTTTTACATAAATGGTCATATGGCTTGTATTCATTATGTCCTATTCAAGGAGGTTTTACCTTTTGACCTATTTTATATCCCACAACGCGCATGTAGCGCAAAGTTCGGGGACATAAAATTAACCTCCTGATCGGAACCTACGGTAACCAAGGTTCAACTTTTTTTCTTTTTCTTTTCATTGTTTTTGTTGAGAGACTAGTTTTGTTTTCATATTTGTCCTATTTAGTGGAGAATTAAGAACAAAACATTTTCCTTTATGGAATTAATGCATTAGTTACTTTTCCTGGTAGTGTGTCTTTTAATCTCACCTCAAAATACACAAATGAAATGCAACAAACCCTGATAAAAAGTTTGAGCCATCCCATAGGAATTACGAGAGACTTGGGAATTTGTTTCAGAAACACTTTCAATGAATTTTAGAGAAAATATCATATTTATGATGATGTTTTTACAAATATTATATTACTCCAAAATGTAAAAAATACTGTTTAAATATAAATGTGTCGCTGGACACAAATATCTTTGATTTAGAAATGGTAAATCCATCTTGCAGTTTTAGGTATAATGGACATGCAAGATGCATCGCGGTGATTCGGGTATTTCCATTCCAATCATATCTGATTTCCTTCAATCAAGTCACAGGTAATATTGCTGCCAATGAAATCGAGTAATACCAGATATATTTGAGGTTGGATCCCGATGTTGATCGCTCAAATTTAATGAAATAAAGTTATCGTAGTTGATGCAATGCAAGTAATATGGAATATTGATATCAATCGGTAACAAGACTTGTTGTTCAAGGTTTCAGAAACCTGAATCCATCAAACATGCTAATGCCAAGATCAATGATACCTGCATAGAATTACAAAATCACAAACCACGCCTAAGAAATTATAATCGTAATTCACCATTTAATCACATAGATTGCCATTCGCTGTGTGTTCTGTGACATTCATGTGATTATTTGACGTCGCATCAAACATTAGTACAAATGGAACCAGTTATTCTATTGTTGATCTAAATGGAGACATCTTAGTGTAATCAACGTCTTCAATATCTGAAAAATTGCAAGGGGTGTTTAACCTTATTAACTCATTCACTCACTCACTCGCACGATTCATTTAATAATGGCTTCTTTCATATTCTCAGTTCAAGATGCACGCATCTAGAAAACTATTGTAATATTCCCTTAAACCGCCCATCGTTGTTTCATGTACATGACAAATCATAACTATTGGCGCTCTCTCCTAGATCAGTTGCTAGGTCCGAAGTCCAATGGACAGAGCTACCATCTCGATGCAAAGTACCAGTTGCATTTAATTCCAACCCCCATACACAATGAATTAACATTGGAAACATTACTACAACATGCATGTTATTTCAAACCAAATCAAGAAAGATCAATAAGTGATTTTCTTTAAAAACCCAATTCGGTAATCACAGATTATCAACAACGGAATGGACAGTTTGAAGGAAAGGTCAAACCATCTTGAATAAGACATAATGAATGTAACCCAAAATATTTATGAAAATATCGAAGAATAAATCGAAGTTCGAAGAATAAAATTAAAACATTCGAAAATAGACTATAAGATCGAGTCTATATACAAGTAAATTATATGTTTATCGACTATGCTTATATAAATACTGAACGAGGTAACATTTTAAAGAAACATTGCGATATCTTAGTTTTTGTAAATAAAGTCAATTTTTGTGAAAAAAAAAACGGATTTCGATTGCCACTCCTAATATTCAAACCTAAAACTGGATTTCACATATTGCGTTTATATTTTACATATTAAGTTAAAAATTGTTTTTACATTTTGCCTTAGGTGTTGTACTTTTTGCGTTAAACACATATTTTATACATACTGCGTTAATATTTTACATATTGCGTTTTAAATTGATTGACTCTGCATGGTTTACTACGCAACTGAACTTTTGATGAATCTCGGGGAATTTAGTCAACAAATCGAACTATCGATCCAGTTGAACTAAATGAATGTCCGTGCAAAGGAATATTAGTTTTGATATAAGAAAACTCCGTAAACATGTGTGAACCATATATACATTATCAATATTGAGAAAATAACACCAACCGTATCCCAGTTTTAATCAGTTTATTACATATAACCTGTTATAAAGGGAAATTTCAAACCGCAGTATCGTTTAAAAAGAAAGTCGTAACAGTTCAAAGCATCGCTAAAGTGAAAAGTACTCACAAAACAGGCACAGGGCAGCAATTGGCAGCAAGCACTTCATGTCGTTTGGTACAGGGAAGAATCCTATCCACGAATATGCTACGTTTACATTTATACCTCAAGGTGATAGGGTTGTTAAAAAGTTCACCCAATCGTATGTTGTGAACTAAGTTTACAAAATTGTGCAATAGCTTCATCGGTCCTCTCTGACATTTCACAATTTGAAAGTCAGGTGACAGGGTGACGCTGCTTTGTTGTTGCGGCTGCAACAGGTCCTTCCAATAGATCATAAATTCACTTTAAGGAGTGAGAGAGAAAGATCAAGTGACAACCATTTCAGCCTTATCGCGACTACAATAAGTTATAAATTCACGATAACATGAATAAAAATACGCCTGACAACAAATCGGAATATACAACTTTAAGTATAGAAGACTATACAATATAAAAACAGGCTACAGACTGCTAACAGTTGAAGGTAGACCACCATACTAGGAACCATGGAGACTTAGAGTACACTTGCTACTAGGAACCTAGCTGGATTTACACTAGGGCTGTAATAACGATGCAGCGAACAATGGACGGATTGCAAATATTGTTGAGTCTCCGACAGTAATTAATCGATGGTAGAAACGAAAACATATCGATGCATCGATAGTATGTGTGACTATCGATAGTGTAGTTATTGATTTCCGTTGATAAATACGCAGCACAAAATACAGGAAGTACCAGATTCGTTCACTTTGAGTTAGAGTTATCCGCCCCTGTTACGTCTTACACAAACTTTATCTGGGTTTCAAGTGTCCTGTCAGTTATTGAAAGAGACTGAAACTACTTCAGCTTGTTCTTATTTCATATAAACTATACATTCATTTGGGAAATGACTTCAAATGAGACTATTCAAGGAGAGAAAAACTAATGCAATAGTATTGCAACAGTTGGTCGCAATAGACTATCGCTATCGCAATAGTATGTTGCAATAGACTATCGCTATCGCAATAGTTGTTACACCCTGAATAGTCACCCCTAATTTACACTATCTTGTCGGTGGAGTTCGCTGTACAAGGATAAGAATTTCGTAACGTACTGTTTTCACTTGACCTGCGATATCAGTTGAGTACTACTGTTATGCAATAACACGGACATACACTCAGTGAGTGAGTGAGTTTATTTTTACGCCGCACTCAGCAATATTTCAGCTATATGGCGGCGGTCTGTAAATAATCGAGTCTGGATCAGACAATCCAGTGATCAACAGCATGAACATCGACCTGCGCATTTGGGAACCGATGACATGTGTCAACCAAGTCAGCGAGCCTGACCACCAGATCCCGTTAGTCGCCTCTTACGACAAGTATAGTCGCCTTTTGTGGCAAGCATGGGTTGCTGAAGACCTATTCTACCCCGGATCTTCACGGGTCACATACACACTCAGGCACACAAACACACGTATATTTCTCCCCGTATATTTCTCCACAGAGTGAGTGAGTGAGTTTAGTTTTACGCTGCTTTCGGCATAATCCCAGCAATATAACCGCGGAGGACACCAGAAAGGAAAGAAATTTATTTGCTGGACAATTTAGTTGTTACCGTCCACGTACAGGTACACGTGTCCGGTTATGATGACGTACCGACAACCACGTTCCCGAGTCTGATCAGTCTATTTATACATGTTAAAGTATCCCACGAGGTCTGGAAGTAAGCCATGGTTAGTATTTGACAGTTCTGAGTCATTATTTTCATTTCTCGGGATGTTTTCATATTCACAGCAGCTGCTTGGACTATCTCAAACGTTATCTCCTAAAACTGTTTCCTGTAAAACAACTAACTGTGATGTGCCACAGGTTTCCCGATAATTATTAATAATTTCACTACATATCGTAAGTGAATCACTGTTTGGTCACCAGAGCCTATATGCAGGTGGTTGCAATTTCCGCGTAATATTTCAATACAATTGTGTCAAATAACAGATAGGATTACACGTATCAAAAAATATTTCCAGAAATGTTTTTGCAAACGTGCCACTAATTTAAAATTGATGTGTTTTAGCGCTTATCTCCAGCAAATGTTTCCCCAATGTGTCGATAAAAGTTTTCAAGGCACACTACGGTCAACATTGAAGGCAATATTGCCCAAACATGATCCACGGAATCTCTGTTACACCATGAGCATGTGATACACTGACACAGATATACGCGATAGTATAGTAAACACTGCGTTGTCTGGTGTATAACAAACACGTAAACGGGACAACTGTTAAAACACTCAAGTAAAATAACAGATCTGTTTTCGCTTTCATAATGTGATGAGGGTATCAGTGAGCTTATAGCAATACAGTTGAACCTCGCTCTCCCGGACTCTGTCCCGGTCCGGAAACCGGTTTCTGGGTGATGAAAATTTTTAGGTTGTATGTATTTCGTGTCAAGTAAATATCGCCCGGTAGGCAAGGTTTCGAGATATCATGGGTCCGAATAACCTGGGTTCCTCTGTATTTTAGAAATGGGTTGCACTCAGGAGAGAGGTTGACTGAGTGGGTGAGTGTACCAGAGCTAAACTATTGATGATACACTCGAAAAATGACTCCCCTTTTAAAATAGATATTTTTGGGCTACGGAGAGCGTTTTGTTACTTGTATTTAGGTGAAATGCTGAAAGAATAATGCTAAGTTCTCCATAATTACCCCAGATCAGTGAGTGACTGTGAGTGACCGCTTTTAGAAATACTCCAGCAATATCACGGCGGGGGGACACCAGAAATGGGCTTCACACATTGTACACATGTGGGGAATCGGCGTGACGAGCGAACGCTTTAACCACAAGCTTATCCCACCGCCCCTCACTATAGAATAGAAAGTGTTTCTGTTTTATCAGTAATATTGCAGGTACAGAGTTATATTAAGCGACAGTTTAACTTGGGGACAGGCGTTATTCGTAATGTCAAAGAAAATACACACTAGCGTCGGGCAAACCGGAGCCAGCTACTACTTGAATATTTAATTCATGGTAAAAAAAAATACCTAATATTGAACAGCATGTTCCATTGGAAACATAATACCGATAGAATAAAATTGAAAAGGTGTCGGCGGGTATTCACATACAGCTATGAGTGACTACCTGCAATGCCTTCTTGAACTGTTGGGGTGCACATTAAGCCCAAATGTTAGGGGGAAACGCTCCTCGGGGTAAATGTTTTCGGGGGAGAAAGAAGGGGGTGGGGGTACTTTGGATTTGCCCCTGCCATTTTAGAAAAAAATTATCCGCTTGTATTCGGTGTATTTTAACGTTTTATAATGCGCTCCGTTTAAATGACTATTGCATATGATTGATGAAGCAATGTTCAAAGGTTATACCGACGTACGATTCCTCAGAAATAAGGGTGCGTGCTGTCAACAAGGAAATTGGACGACAAAACGTTTGAAAGCAATTAAAGTGGCTGCCTGTTATATTCCCCGTAAACCCGGTCAGCTATGTATTAAGCCACGTATTCATATCAGACGGTGACACACGGTGTATTCTACTGTGGTTAAAGGGTAAAGCTCGTCCAGGAAGATCTGGACATTATAACCAGGGTACAATGTACGTGTACATGGGGCCTGGGTAAGTGAGTGAGTGAGTATGATTTTACGCAATATTTTTAGCAATATTCCAGCAATATCACGGCGGGGGGACACTAGAAATGGGCTTCACACATTGTACTCATGTGGGGATCGAACCCGGATCTTCGGCGTGACGAGCGGACGCTTTAACCATTAGGCTACCCGACCACCCCAGTGAATGAGTGAGTGAGTTAGTGAGTCTATCAAGAATTACAAAGTGTTAAGTGATATTTTGTTCATCGGCAAAATAAACACAAATTTGCAATTCCGCACCATATTGGGTCATCTTTTCGCTAACACCAAGTATCACCACTATTGTCTTGCATACAGCATACACCAATATCAAAGAATAGCCAGTCTCCATTATGTGCAGAGACAAATTCCATTTCGCACAAAGGCAAAATAGCGGTGAACATTTAAACACAGACACTGAAAATCAATAATGAACCAGGTGTTCTAAAAAAGGGTATGTTCTGAACTAGGGTGCATTATAAACCCAATCAATTTTATATTCACATTAATCTATTTTACATATAAATGCAGAGTCGATTGTACAATTCTGACTGTATCGCGAGTATGTGTTTGACGCAAGAGACGAAATAGTAATTTTTGATTGGAAAACCAATGTGTCTAAGATGTGCATCAGCGTTTAGATCACTACAGCAAAGCCTGAGGCAACAATGTATAATTCACCGTGTACCGAAGTTGAGGTCGAAATGTATATCGAAAGGATGGGAAAGCCACATTAACTCGGTGCGCCTAGTGGTTGAGATTGACAATACGAAGTGCAGTTGAGACTGACAATCTATGATCGAGGGAAAAACAAAGCGCCTGTGAGCAGCCTAGCTGGAACTCCGCGCTATATAAACAGATTATTATAATTATAATATAATCCCCCTGATGGCACTACATAATGCAAAGTTATCTTTACTTTTTTACAACGGGACTCATTAATATCCAATCAAATGGTACCAAGTAAAGATGATATTGCATAAGTTTCAGTTCTACATTTAATGGATCGAAGAACTGAATTCTCTCATAAGTTCTGATTGTTCGAGTTTCGGGTATGAGATTATAAAGATATTCTGGTACGATAATATTTTTCATGCGCGCATATTTCTCACAATTTATCATGGTTTAGTTTTCAAGTAAAACAGGTTTTTTGATGGATGCATTTGTCCCAAATATGACTGCATTAATCAATGATTGGTAAAATAAAGGATTAATAAATAACCTACAGAATTTTAAGTGATGGGCGACATTTTAGAATTCTTAAACAGTAGACTAGACTAGGTTTTTTTAATTATATCGTCGATATGAATGTTCCAGTAACATTCAATGTCATTTTAAAGAGTTAGTCCAAAGTGCTTGTGATTTGGCTACGTCTTGGATGTCATATGTAGATCAGTCACAATACATCTGTTTACCTTTCTGCTAAACTGTATTGATTCTGCTTTGTTAGGATTAAAGGCGACCTCCATTTCATGCCCTAAATTCTTTTGAAATCACATTAGAAGATTGCCTTGAATGTCATACGTTTTTGCAATATTCCATTATGCCAAAACAACATGAAACCATTGTCAGTATGACAACACATTCCTTTCTGCAACATGGCAAATAATTTTGCATCAGCTTATCTATGCAACCTTATTTCAATTCACGCTGGGCGATGGTGCAGCCCAGCAGTTACAGCGTTCGCTTGTCACGCCAAAGACCCGGGTTAAATTCTCTACATGGGCACATTGTGTGAAGCCCATTTCTGGTGTCCCCTGCCGTGATATTGCTGGAATATTGCTAAAAGCGGAGTAAAACTAAATTCACTCACTCATGTCTCAACTTCGCTTTACAATAAGAAATGTTTTTCAATGCATCTTATCAAATAGCGTCTCTACATATCAATTTTTGAGATACGTTTTATATTCATGCTGCAAGCATTCTGTCGAGTGATAGAGTATACATGTAAAATGACAGCTAATTTGTTCACGTGACTTTTCCACAAGGAAATTATCTCACAGCGAGGACACCCTGGCCGCACGGAAAGTGAAACTAGGATCCCCGTAAAAAAGAGAAGCAGAAAAGCGTTACCTCATACTGAAATGCCGGGACCACCAGCGACGGTAAGATAACATTTTACTGTTTCGTCATTCTGTTAAAATGGGGGTAAAAAACAATTCACTCACTAACTAATCCGTTGTTTTGCTTCTTATCTATGGTATAATACCATGCTGGTTTGTTCATTAAATTATTTACTTTCGTGTGATCATAATGTGGAATTTCAGTTTCAGGCACATTAGCGTGATGCATTAATGTTACATCGTTATAAATTTAGGTTTATAAACCATAAACACACGCTCTGTCATCGTACCGCATGGTCACAATCACTGGATGGTCTGCTCCAGACTCGATTTGTTTACAAACAACATCGTACAGCTGTAATACTACTGAAACAAATATACATGTATACTCATGTTTTTGTGACAACCGTACAATCGACCCTGCTATTAGCAGAAATTTCTAATAGAAGTGGAAAGTGTTTTCTCTCGTCTATTCACTGATAATGAATCATCGTTCATATTAACCAGAAAACACATACATGTATATGTCGACACTCGATAGAGACTTAAAGGTTTGAGTCTTACATGAAGCGGCTTGAGCGATTTGAGTCAGTGGCTCTATACAGAATACGTCTATTGTTCATTACAATACATACTTCCCTGATAGTGTTTCTCTTCAGTGAGTGTAGTCGCTAGAGAAGCAAGTTTCATAACCCAATACCTAACTAGCCTGTATGGGTGTTGAACATCGTCGTCCGTGAACCCCACTGGAGTTGGGTGTTTAGTGTATTTTTTGATATGACTATTCAGTTTTCAATTCACGACAGCGTCTCTCATGTAAACTACTTTCTAAACGTATTGAATCATTAATGATAATTTAAAACATAAACTGTTTTGCTATTATGATGCAAAGGTCATTTGTCAAGCAAGTACAAGCAAGCTTGACAACGGTACAATGACAAAACTTCCAATCATAATAGAGTAACGATTTTACCCTTCATAACAATATCTTGCCTTTACCGTTTCTCTCAAACTACATATGTAAATCAAACAATGATGAATAAGTCTGTCATTAGCCCTAATTTCATTGGTTTTTCCACCGTCTTCATAAATATGCAGAGCATGTTTGAACACGTTTGAGTTTTTTCAGCACTCGAATTCCTTGAAAATATATGATTTCCTTAGCTCTCATTATCATTTATAAGTTCATTTCCGACTGTAACACTGATACAGTTTGGCGCCATGTGTCAGACAAATCAGATAACTTGCGAGTATCACTTTCGGAATACATCTACTTGTTTCTTTACCTGTAAAACATACGCTAAGATCAGAAAGAACGTAGTTTTACATACATGGACATGATCTTAAACATTAGTAAATAGTTCAGTCAATAGTTCAAACATATATTCATTTACATAAGCTTTGTTACCGGTCCAAATTTCTTCAGAAATTAATGCTTAAACCATTATTTTCCACAGCTATTTTGCTTCTGATGCCAACTGGAATCGGTTTTGTTGGATAACCGAGTCGGGTTGTTCTCTGGCATTGTGGTTGTATATTGTACGAAAAGGAATACTATCAGTAAGAGTAGACTTCAAAAGATTGGAGGAAGGTAATGAATGGTTGTACGAAATGTATTGGGTGTCAAAATGAGTTGATATAACTATAATGTAAGATATAATTAAACCTGTTTGAGTGGCATTCAGAAATGGTGTGATGAACAAGGGACATAGTTCCATGGATATACTTCTTAATTACAATATATACGACGTTTAATAGATGCTAAAACCGTTATCAAGCAACAAAGTATGTGTATATCATTGAAGTGGGTGCGTCAACATGAAGCATGCGACTTTATGGATAACAACTTCTTGTTTATTGCATAGAGCGACGTGACGTACATGTATATATTATATGCTTCATTAAGTTGTACGATATCGTATATCCATATAACTTTTTCCTTTGTTAAAGATCTATTTTCATCAGAATTTGACGAATGTCGTAATATTCATGACAGTTCATGACGAGAAGGTTGGCCTCCATTGTTACTCTCACGGATGATAAGGCCATATATAAAATATTCTTGTTTCTCATTACCGCTCGACCCAAAAATTCGAACCGGCCCTAATTTTTTATATTTTTTACACAAGCGAAAATGCAACTTTGACTCTCAAAATGTGCATGAATCTTTCAGAGTTCTAAGTTTTGATTTTCTATCGGAGAAAAGGCGTACATTTGCACAGAAATCAAAGGTTTTTGACATAAAATGAAATAAAAAGTTAAAGTAAATCCGCCCGCCCGACCTATATTTTTTTAAAAAGTGATGAGAAACGGACGATAACCCTCCATCTCATGCCTCCTCCTGATCCCCCCTCCTCCTGATCCCCCCTCCTTCTGCAGGGCACTGTGAGTGAGCAATGGCTGCTTACATCATAAATCAGGACGATACCTCGTCAGGTCAATAGGTCCTGCCGAGGAGTAAAGTTCAGTGACCATGATGTTGGTGTAACAATAACAGTTTCTCGGGTTAGTGATTCATTGCTGGGTTCAGGCACGATTAGAATAATTCACGTATAAACAGGAACTGCCTCGTGTTATTAACGTATCGCTTAATGGCACCATCACCAGCATTCCATTTGAAGTTATGTGAATTCCACCACTAGTAATTACAAACACTTAGCACTCATATCGCGACGTGTATGCGTGATGTGGGATGGAAACCCGAAGTCATGCAGGTCTTATTATGAATATATATTACCTTCGTGGGGATTCCCTGTTACTGTTAGATCCCCAGCAAGATAGTCCTTTCGTAAGAGCAAAACAGTATCGAATCGTCCGGTTTGGTGACTTGATTCACAGCGTTTTTTATCCTACCCGAACCACTGTTTGTTGTGGACCGTTGTTCGATATATCAATCAGTGGATTGTCTGGTTCTGGCTCCATTATATACAGACCGCGGTCATGAACATGAAGAAGAAATAGTGCGGCCTAAAACAACATACAACATCATCAGCAAAAAACACTAAACGCCAAAAGAAACGTTACCCTCCTTCCTTTATGACGGAGGTACCTATCTTCAGCTCGCGTTGTGATGCGTGGACGTCCACTTTCTGGTCTGTCTTCGGTGATCCCAGTCTGTCTGAAGCCCTGAATAAGCCTTATAACCGTGATACGGTGGCATCCGTGGGCGTTGGCAACAGCATTGTATGTCGATCCCATCTGCACCATCCCAATGGCTCTTTCTCTCCCTTCAGCTGTTAATCGTGGCATATTTCTCGTACATGTGTATCAGATCCTGTCTTCTAGGCTCTCTTTATACCCTATAAAATCATTCTGCATGTGAAATGGATGTAAATACTGTTTGAATATTGCTGCGTTTTGGCGATTGATATTGCTATGTGTAAAATGGAAAGCAAAAATGTTAACAAAGATAATTGTAGATGTTCCTAAACATTTTTTCACAATATCAAAGACACGTTTTACTTGTTTTCACTAATGCAAATCAGCAGAAAATGTTTTTAAAAAACTGAAATCATAGCAATGATTATTTTACAATTTTACACACTCTACAATAGTTGTTTCTTGTTTTAATAGTTGAAAAATTGTGACTTTAAATGGTTTATCATTGCCCAAAGCAGAATTTTATTTCAACCTTTCTTTTGGAGATCAAAATCACTATTTTTGGTTTATTTCGGCATGGACGAATAGAGGACAATTTAACTCTTCTGAAAAAGATGCATTTCACCAAAATGTGAATGCATTTGAGATTTTGTTTTCGTGATTTGCATAAAGCTGTGTTGTTAAGCTTTCTTGTAAACTAAAACCTTCTAAAATATCTTTGATAGTTTTTCAGTAATTAATAAAGGTAGGAGGGTAACGTTTCTTTTGGCCTCTAGTGTATGCGAACTAGCGTTGGCGTTATGATTGCATACTTTGAGCAAGTCACTGTAATGCCTCTTTTCACATGTAAAACATTATTATTAATATCGAAATATTAAAATTCAAAATATTATGCTGATTCGTTTTTCAAAAGGATGATACGTGTTTTATGACCTCTCTTCTAATCTGTATCCTAGGACCCGTGAAGGTCCGGGTCAGAATATTGGCCTTTAGTAGCCCATGCTTGTGGTAAGAGGCGACTAACGGGATCGGGTGGGTAAGGCTCGCTGGCTTGTTTGACACATGTCATCGGTTCCCATTTGCGCAGATCGATGTTCATGCTGTTGATCACTGGACTGTCTGGTGCAGGCTCGATTATTTACAGACCGCCACCATCTAGCCTGAATATTGCTGAGTGTGGCGTAAAACTAAACTCACTCACTCACTGTATCATAATTTTTATTGTCCATGATTTCTCTGTCTGAGTGTACCATTAGAATAGAGAGTAACATGCACTTCTTTGATTACTAACAGTAGATATCTTGTATTTTCCCAAGTAAATAATTGCTCTGTCTGAGGGGTTCGTGCAGATTCTTGAAGTGTGGCATCCATCTGTTTGAAGTACCTTCGCTAGCATGTGTGAGCAGTGACCCATTCATCGAATGAACCGCAATGCCCAACAGTGTGGCCATATAGCATCGACCGAATTCTGTATTCGCTCTGATTATGTTTTCGGCATCATACTGGTGGCTTTCAGGGAAGTACTAGACTAACAACTAGTCCCTGAAATGAACATAGTTTTCTGAAAAAAGTTCATAGTAAAAAAAAAAAATATATAATGAAAAGAAGCCCTGTGACTTTCTTCATTTTCAGCCTGAAGCTGAGGAAATCTAGACTTGCCACATTTTCTAGTCTTGTGTGGGCTTTCTTGGATATATTTGCTTCAGGGTCTGTATGACAGACTAGGGAAGTACCTTTCTGACGCTTTCCTCCCATAACAGACAGACATGCTATGATGACATAATGAGAGCTGAATTACGTTTCAAAGCAGCGTACATCAAAAGTATACGAACACTCTCTGTTTAAGTTACTAATTTGACACCAATGTAACTTTAATATTCTGAATAGTGGCTTAGGCCACTCTTGTCACAATTCTGAAATAATGTCTTTTTATCAAGACAGACAAATTATATTATGCGTTAATATATTTAGGATAAAATTACAGCAGGATGTTGCATAAAAGTATGACTACAAAACACAAACGAGTCATTTTATAATAACTGAAACACTATTATGTTGTTTTCTATTATCAATGCCTAAAGGAAAAATATGTTGTATTATAGAATCATGCAGGAGCTTCAATTAAATATCAATGTTATGTTCCAAGTGAAATAGATTTCACTTTCCCCGAGAAAACCGAGGTTTGGTGACCACACCACACGGAAGTCAGCGAAAGTTTATGGTTCATAATGTCTGTAGTAAATGGACCGCCTCTGTGGTGTAGTGGTTAGAGCGTCCCCCCCGGAGAGCGGAAGGTCGCGGGTTCGATCCCCGATCGCTTCATACCAAAAGACGTTAAAATATGGTACTTGTTGGTCCTTGCCTGGCGCTCGGCATTAATGGGTACAACAAGGACTGGTCGGCTCGGAATCAGTATAATGTGTCTGAGTGGGGTATTCATGCTTCACTGCGGGATGGTATCTCAGTGGGCTAGCATTATAAAACCAGCTTCAGTCTGGGCTAGTACAAGCAGCCTCACATACACATACACACGCATGCACGTCGTCATATGAGCGAAATATTCTCAAGCACGACGTTAAACCCAATTTCACCTCACCCCACCTGTAGTAAATGTATACGACTAAATGACATGCTGTCAAATTGGAAGACGGTATTGGTGTTTTAACAATACAGTAACACTTCACCATCTGAGGGAACGCTAATTCAACAAATTAAATCTCGTTGAAGTCGCCGTGTGAGCTAGTTCCATGTATATGTTAATTGTAGACTCAACAGTTGTATACGCACAACAAATAACTATAACAAGTTTGGTTTCTGTTATCGCAATCATAGCATTTGCGGAAGATTTCAAAACGTTCAAGACTGGCTCTAAATTTGCTACTACACATATACTCTCCCCCAAAATAAACGCATAGGTGGTATTGATATATGAAATTTCAAATATTTTTCAAATAAGTGTTTGTTGTAATTTTGCTATTATAATGCGCAAAATCGCATCTTCTGAAATTTTAATGTACGTTTACATTCGAAAGTGTCAACTTACATAAAAATGCCATGGAGAAACAGTGGTTCGCAATACGCACGTGCAGTTCTGAGAAATCGTGGGTAGGGACATTGCCTATTTAAGGCGGTTTTGCTTTTAGACGGTCATTGGCATCTTTTAGTATAATGAAAGAATAAACCCAATCATAATTGCTGTAAATCGAAACATCGCCATTGAAGGAGGCTGGGAGTCTCAATCTGCCGTTGCACATGACCTCAATGCATGATCACCAGAGTACCATCAGTTCTTTATGGGGTCGATATCAACAAACCAATTCTACGCAAGATCGACCTCGAATAAAATCTCGAAATTACACCTAAGCGTTTCTTTTTGGGAGAGTGTATATGCTATCGTGAATCTTTTTAGATATACCAATTAGCCTTACTGGTTCCAATCAGGCTTTAGTTTAGTTATTTTAGTTGAACATCACGTTCTGGATTTAATGTTAACTAAAATCAAATCGTGAATCGATGAGTTCCTTTGTTGAGACGTTTGCCTAGAGCAACCATGTACAGGCATGGACCCTGACTGACTGACTGAGTTTGGTTTTACGCCGCTTTTAGCAATATTCCAGCAACATCACGGCGGGGGACACCAGAAATGGGCTTCACACATTGTACCCATGTGGGGATTCGAACCCGAGTCTTCGGCGTGACGAGCCAACGCTTTAACCACTAGGCTACCCCACCGCCCCTGAAATTGATGGCGAGTCTGTTTTAGTGGTCACGATTTCACGCTTGACGCCGACATGGAAGACTGCTTGTCTTCCGTGAGTGAGTGAGTTTAGTTTTGCGCCGCGTTTAGCAATATTTCAGCAATGTCACGGTGGGGGACACCAAAAATGGCTTTACACATTGTATCCATGTTTGAAGTCGAACTGGGTGCGCCTGTGCGCTTATTTTTAAGAGTGTAACATGCTCATTTTATAGGGACGAAAGTGAAGGAGACGGTGTCTTGCATCAGCTGGCTGACAGTTCGGCAGTTGTACTTCGAGTGATATTTCTGAGCTGGTAAATAGGCATCAAATAGAGTCACAGGTTGTGAAGCTGGACGTTGCACCTAAAAACTACAGATACCAAAATCTACTGTTATGCAATAAGATACTATTAACTATAAGAAAAATTGGGCATTCGAAATATGAATTTACTATTTAAGTTGCGTGTTCTTTCGGAATTCACAACGCACTCGTAAATGTTTCCACAATCCACGTGACGTTATAGATCTACTTAACAGTATAGGTTCAACTCGCGTTTAGTGGCATTTCACTTCCGGGAGAGAAGACATGGGTACAACACATTGAACTCTTGAGAAATCTTACCCAGATAACCACCAGGCTTATACACCGCCCCTAAACAGCTCGAGTGCCGAATTCATAATCTGTAATATATTTATGATCGATTACTTAATACAATTTAAGAATTATCAATGTAACTGGCACATTTGCACACAAAAATCGTCAACGCCAGAGAGTAATCATTTCTGATTACCCTACTCAGATCTGATTACCCCCGAAACTAACAAATTCCACTGGGAATATAAGGCAATATAGTTACGACAATTGTGTAAATTATAACTGAAAATCAGTGATTTCACCTGGTGGCCAGACTGACCTATCTGGACTGCATACTAAAGGTATAGTGATTGTTTGTAGATTGTAATTGTTAACTCCAAGGTTAAAACTAGGAAGTGGAAAGCGATGCCAGTAACCCAGGAAAACGAAACCAGAGCTCACACAAATGATAACAAAGAATTAACATGTATGAAATATGATCATGAAAATACCCTTCACTTAATATTTCCTTTTAGAAACACAAGTGTTAATTAAAGAACAATATATGCAAGTCACAATAATACTGACAATTAGAATTATGACAGCAATATTATTGATGATATTTGTGAAGATAGTAATTCGTTTTAGTCCATACACACGGCATTGACATGTTGGCTGTTCTTGACGACATACATTGCTAAATAGGAAAACGCATAAAAATCCATGCAATATATTTTAGGGGTGAAACGGTATACCGCGGTATTAGTAGAACCGCGGTATTTTGCCTTCGGTTCGGTATATACGATAATGCAATCCAAAAATTCTTTATTTTTGATTTTCGTACCGTCATTTTGTTAACCTTTATAAACATTTTCAAAAATGTCTAGAAATCGAACCATTTTGTCAAAATCTATCTGGGTTTGGCTCTTGTTCTCAATTTTCTGCATTATAATCATATCTCATGTACCGAACCGAAACGGACCGTGCTGAAGGATTTGTACGGTAACCGCAATACGTACCGTACCGTGTTGGAGCATATCGTTTCACCCCTAGTATATTTCCAATATAATGACGCCACAATGCATTATTTATAGTCTGTATTGCTACCTGGATGATATCAGTATGATACACATCTATTTTCGTAAAAATGCACACAATACTCCTCTGTAGGATTCAGGTTAACAAGTGTCGAGTTTTTTTATTTGGTTAAGTATATATTCCGGTATCTATTCATTATATTAACCGCAACATTATTTGCCTAACAGTCCAACATGCCGGTAATGTCATCTTGCTTTTCTGCATATTGTAATCCCGAGCCATGATCATGAATTAACTGAAAATGTCACCATGATATGCCGATGGTATTCTGACCAGCAATAAAAATGCAACTCATGAAAATTGTACTTTTTCAGCATGAGTTTGGATTTGATACTTTTACACAATTGTTTCGATTTCTTGAAATTGCGTTTCTTTTGCTGGTCAGTATATTTTCGATTCAGTTTCGGTGTCCAGAAATTTGATTAAGTATATATAACTTCAGACTGCCCTAACGTTATGTATTTGTTTTCCAGTTAGTAATTTGGTACGGTACACATGACTATATTCTTCTTTCTACTTATTTTTAAGTGTATTTATTTCTACTTTTTGTAGCCATAAGGTACACTAAAGTTCCTACAGCCAGTGGCCATGGAAACGGATAGGGTATACGTTAACTGGAAAAGCATTGATCCTACAGGGCAAACCACGAGTCTGAATCGCCTATATAGCAGGGATTCCTGGGATCGCGACGACCCAGTGCTGCTGCACGAGTTGTCTCCACATAACTACCACATGAGGCGCTCCATTGGAAACCACATCAACCAGCCAATGAGTATACCAATGCCCTGTGAGAGGATGAACAACTATTACAACTTTGACCACCAAGAGCCCATTTATAGCACAGTGAAGAGCACTGCCAAACAAAGAGCCATATGCTTCGAGAACAGCTTGTTTGATGAGAATTCCCCAAATTTGATAGATGATAGAAAATATTCGGTAAAAGTTATCAACATGAGTGCTGATGATACTCCATGTTTGCTGCCAGAGATGCAGAGGCCACTATCTCTTGGAAAGGCACAAACAAGTTCAAGAGCAGACCTGTCTCCGGTAATGTTCCGAAATCGACCACGCCCTTGTCTGTCAACGATTCAGCCAGAGAACATATATGAACCTGTGGAGAATCGCAGAGCGATCAGCACCCAGCGGTCGGTTCATAGTCAGTATATTAGCTTTGAGAGAGCGTTGTCGATGGAAGAAACACCCCCCAAAATTCCTCCAAGGAATAAAATCAATCTTGACCAGCGTGAAAGCTTCCTTTGCAACATGGCCAGAAACGAGAGGGCTGAAAATACCAAGTCACATGACAAAAAGATATGCCTGCCAACCCAAATGCAGTCAGAGAGCATGGTCGGTAGATTATCTTGCCAACCCAAACAGAGTGCAACTCTTAATCCGTGTCAAGACCCAATGGAGAGCTGCTGTCGAAACTGCAAGTCGATGGGGTTGAATGATCCAGGAATATCGTTCCCAGAAACTTATGTCGACATGAAGAGAGGCCGGCAAAGCGAGACTGGTGCTGGGTTATCTCAGGTCATGGATTGGAACTTGTATGACATCAGCAAAGTCTCTGCAGAAAGGAATCCACCAGAACTTCAAGCACGGTCGACTGCTGTGACGCAAACGTCTGACTTAGAAAACAGGTATTCTCATTAAAATAATATCTTGCACATATTCATTACAAAAACACCATGCACATGTCAATTACAAATAATATCTTGCACATACTTGTTACCAATAATATCGGTATAAGATATGTTTGGTTGATACATATCTAGACGTTTATCACTTTTTTAAACCCACGAATACGCATATGATATGATAAACTTAGAAACATCACCGATGAATTCAACCCACGAACACAGGTTCCTGACATATCCAAGGGACACCACTCTCCAACACGAATGGATGACGCTAGTTTTGGCCACTTGAATTAATAAGGAATCTTTACCTTTCAGGCAGTCGAATGTCTTGTCTCGTTCCTGCAGTATTGATACTCTTTCATCGGTGGCCACTTCTATTCAGACACCAGCTTGGTTTGATGATTTAATTACAACCAGTTTCTCTAACTACGCTCTTGGAAATCAGCGACATAGCCGCAGCATGGGCACATTGCCAGAGTCAATAGGTAAGTACAATATCTTATGATGCATGACATGCTATAAAGGTAAATTCTTATTAATAACTCATGATATGTCAGTTAAAGTCTTAATATTGAATTATACTTCATGGTTAAAATATACCTGGATAGGAATGTACATCTACTCATTTTGTAGATGCCATACAGGTTCCATACCGATAATATACTAAAGTACATTGTATGATTTCAGGCATATTATAAGTATGTGTTTATGAATCATTACCACTCAGTTAAGTTCTGAATACTTTTGTAATTTAAGGCAGCATGGACTTCATGAACAACATCAAAAGAGATCAACGAGTCTACTCAAAGACACATATGTACCAACTAGTCAAAACTCAGTTCAGGAGAGATGGTCATATCATCATCACAGGTCGACCAGGGACGGGGAAGACAGCCATGGCCTTTCAGATTCTCCGAGATATTGCTGCTGAAGGAGCAACTCCAATTGTTGTTGACACCCCCGGAGACTTCCCAGATCGAAAACCAAGTGGAAATGTCGTTATCCTGATTGATGACATGTTTGGGTCATACAAATATGAAGACCATGACATTGACCTATGGAAGAAGATCTTGAAAAGGCTGGAAGGAATCTTGGATGAGCAACCTAGAAAGCAGTACAGCAGTCCATCATTTTTCTTTATTTGTACGTCAAGGACATATGTCTTGAAAGAAGCACTGCCATTTCTTGGAAAGTATAACAGCACGATCTTCAGTAGTCAGTATATCGTTGACTTGGGAAAAGAGAGTGACTATGCGGATGTGGAAAGGATGAACATGCTTGACAACCACACCAAGGAAGGAATGATGCGAGGCCGTACAATCGATCGGGCGGAGAAAGAAGACATCGTTCGCTGCAGTACATATGCATTCCCACAAACATGTCAGCTCTTTACAGCAAGTCAACAACTACCTGGAAAGCCATTACTTTTCTTCCAATGGCCAGTAAAGTACCTGGTGGATATTCTGGAGCCCCTGTACCTCAGTGACAAAAGGAAATTTGCTGCTTTGCTCTTGATTGCAATCTATAGGAACAAACTGGACATCTCACTGCTTTCAAATGACAAGAATGTTGACGACGATTTTAAGGAAAGCCTTCAACTTGCTTTGAAGTACGTAGACGTGAAGGATCCCACACTAAAGCCATCAGAAATCTATCAAGTTTTCAAGATATTGACTGGAAGTTTTGTCGAATTGAATGGGGATTCCGTTTCTTTCCTTCATCCAGTCATATACGATGCTGTAAGCTACATCGTCGGTGAGAGAAATTCTGATTTTGTCCTCAAACACAGCACAATGAGATTCATCTATGACAGAGTCAGATTGATTCCATCAACTGAATCTGGAACGGCCTCACGACCTACAGAAGGGGACAGGTCACGGTTTTTGCTCCATTTGGCACCAGCTCACTTCCAAATACTGGCAAAACGTTTTGGTCAAGAAATATCAGCTGGACATTTTGCCCTTGTATGTGCGCATGAAGCATGTGCACTTCCTGAGTTTGTTTCGATCCTGTTTGAGTACCTGAAGCGTAAAGGCCGAGTGGCACGATCAGTTTCGAAACTCTCCAAGAGGCTGGGAGCGAGATGTACAATCCACAATTCAGACGTCATATATGGTGGCAAGTTCCTGTACTGGACGGTTTGGAACAAATCCATGGAACTTTGTAAGATCTTCCTTGAGAAATTGTTCTTCACAAAGAGAGAACGATGTCAAGCTGTCATAGGGTGCGCTCTGTCTGGAAATGTCAAGGCAATGACACTACTGTTGGATTCACTGGGATCCGAACATGCCACGTATGACCTTGATTCCTCAATGCCGTACCTAATAACGGACCACCCAGAACGTTTACAGAAGCTTGTCCTGCAGATAGTAATCCTCGGGTCAACGCCACTTCACATTGCATCAGAGAGAGGTCGACTCGGGATCGTGAAGCTTCTGCTATCAAGAGATTTTAACATCAATGAAAAAGGACCAAGGGTTGCAGCAACACCACTCCACTACGCATGTCAAGGTGGCCACATGGATGTTGTTTGTCACCTAGTGCAGAATGGAGCTGACATCAACAGTCTTGACTGGGTGTTCAGGACCCCTTTGCATTGGGCTGCTTCTTGTGGAGAGTCAGACGTTGTTAAGATCTTAACGTTCAACAATGCCAATCTTGATGTAAAGGATGATGAAGGGTTGACTCCTCTTCATTGCGCAGCATGGGGTGGACATTTGCAGACATGCATTACTCTCTTGAATGGTGGAGCCTCTCCTAAAATTCGGACACGCTACAACAAGACTCCCCCTGGACATCAGCATTGATGACAGCTTCAGAAGAGTTCCAAGACACAATCGGTATTTTTTAAGGTTTATTAGTAAGCATGTATTTTCCTCTAGCGAATGTTGAAGCAATAAACTTGACATGATAATTTTGTTCCTTCACTGATAAAAGGAATGATGTAATTGGCACATCGTGGTCAAAACCCCAATTCATGTTGCTCTTCATTCTAACTAACACAGAATTATTATAAATACGACTTCCACAACGCAATTTGTAACAATTCAGACCTTAGCTTCGGAATGACTTATGTACTTATTTACACATCTTTGTTTCAGTTTTCGACTTTGATTGTTACGTGGACAATTCCGGGCAGGCTGCATACAGGGTTGGACTCCGTGGACCGTTAATTCTGTCGGTTGCAGCGTCAGCAATAATGATTAAGAGACCAAGGAACCACGAAATACTGTTCGAGTGGTCGTTCCGATCAGTCAGGCGGTTTGGCCACACTGAAATATCTTTCAAGTTTGAGGCTGGCAGAAACTGTGAGACCGGAGAAGGGGTGTTCATCCTGCTCACAGTCGATGGCGCTGACATCATGGAATGCATCAGAATGAGACTGAAGTCGAAAGAAGAATCCGCAGAACCGGATCTGCTGATACACAGGAAGGCGCCGCCTGTCTACTAAAGGGTCAGATTTGTGTTCTTCACATCCGCAGTTCCTTGAACGATAAACCAACAGTTCCAAGAACAATCCATTTCAATATTTGTTGCCAAGGTCTCTGGCTATAATGCCACTTGTGTGTGCCAAACGATGGACTTTGCAAGTCAGCTGGTCAGATCAGCTGTATACTTAGTGTGCGTACATAGTGAAGTGAGGCTCTCTATCATTGGCTTCTCTAGTTAATATACCATCCTGGTTATAACGCAATAAAGGATCCTGGACCATTGTTGGCATTATAACCGGGGTAGACTATATGTAGATCATTGTTTATTTATGTACCTACGGTACCCTAGAAGTCTTATTAAAATATTTCTTTCCAAGGCGCCAGAAATAACTACCAACGAAATTTAGACAGACTGTTCATGAGGACCAACCAATCCATTTTGTTTCTGAGGCGCGACATTAGAAGCATAAGATTCCAGGATTCGAAAATTATACAGACAGTTCATGTCAAATGGAGTCATAAACAGCGTGGTAGAATAAGTCAATGTGAAAGAAACTCTTGAAATGAACATTTCGTCTCTTCATATTCTTTTGCGTTTTATGTACAAGTGGAGATGAGGGTGTAAATAGTTAGTTGTATCACAATGTTAACCTACACACAAAATGTGAAATGTTTTTCCCTCTTCCCTGTGGGAGATTTGGTTCCCAGTAACTGATGATAGTTATGAGATGCGACATCAGTTAGGCACGCTTACTTGGTTGAGTGCGTGTTATTGTTCTTGATGACGTGGATCGTTATGCATAATGTCAATTTTCAGATTGTCTGGTCCACACTGGATTAATTACCGACCGCCGTTATATAGCTGGAATATCGCTCAAGGTGGCATTCAACAACAAACACATTATTTTCCTGAACAATTAGCCTGTACAGTTTTGATAGGATTTGCTGAAAATGTTTGGTTTTTTCGTGCACCTTTTTTGCAATTTGAGCATTGAGACAAGGCTTTAGGTTTATTGCTATTTGGTTTATTGTCAAGGATTGGTATATCATTGAACCAGTAGTTGTGAAGATTAAGTAAAGCTTAGTTTCTGATCGAAATAATTCAGACTCGGTCACTACTGAGGAATGGTCACATAATAAATGTAGGCCTGTGTAGGTCGTCTAGTACGAATGGGCGTCCCGGTCAGCGGGTTTTATTGATACTTAATCCCTCACATTAATTGTCTGGTTATTTCAAATGGCTGCGCAGATTATACCCGTTAACTTATAATATAAAATTCACCCTGGTAATAATGCCCCTGGTTATAACACCAATGGTGTTATAACGTTATTGTTTACCAGTACGGATTGCCACCGATTGCAATTCCCTGGATATACCACTGAAGTGCCAATTCCACCGCCAACTTTTCACTGAGCAAATGTTCCAATTCCCTGGTTATAATGCCTGATTTTGTGCCAAAATATGGACTGGCCTGATCACTTGAATACTTAACGTGTGTACATAGTGAAGTAAGGCTCTTTATCATTGAGTTCCTTAGTTATTTGCCACCCCGGTTATAACGCCATACATGCTCCTGGACCAATGTTGGCGTTATAACCGGGGTAGACTATATGTAGATCATTGTTTATTTATGTACCTACGGTACCCTAGAAGTCTTATTAAAATATTTCTTTCCAAGGCGCCAGAAATAACTACCAACGAAATTTAGACAGACTGTTCATGAGGACCAACCAATCCATTTTGTTTCTGAGGCGCGACATTAGAAGCATAAGATTCCAGGATTCGAAAATTATACAGACAGTTCATGTCCAATGGAGTCATAAACAGCGTGGTAGAATAAGTCAATGTGAAAGAAACTCTTGAAATGAACATTGTGTCTCTTCATATTCTTTTGCGTTTTATGTACAAGTGGAGATGAGGGTGTAAATAGTTGGTTGTATCACAATGTTAACCTACACACAAAATATAAAATGTTTTTTCCCTCTTCCCTGGAGGAGATTTGGTTCCCAGTAACTGATGATAGTTATGAGATGCGACATCAGTTAGGCACGCTTACTTGGTTGAGTGCGTGTTATTGTTCTTGATGACGTGGATCGTTATGCATAATGTCAATTTTCAGATTGTCTGGTCCACACTGGATTAATTACCGACCGCCGTTATATAGCTGGAATATCGCTCAAGGTGGCATTCAACAACAAACACATTATTTTCCTGAACAATTAGCCTGTACAGTTTTGATAGGATTTGCTGAAAATGTTTGGTTTTTTCGTGCACCTTTTTTGCAATTTGAGCATTGAGACAAGGCTTTAGGTTTATTGCTATTTGGTTTATTGTCAAGGATTGGTATATCATTGAACCAGTAGTTGTGAAGATTAAGTAAAGCTTAGTTTCTGATCGAAATAATTCAGACTCGGTCACTACTGAGGAATGGTCACATAATAAATGTAGGCCTGTGTAGGTCGTCTAGTACGAATGGGCGTCCCGGTCAGCGGGTTTTATTGATACTTAATCCCTCACATTAATTGTCTGGTTATTTCAAATGGCTGCGCAGATTATACCCGTTAACTTATAATATAAAATTCACCCTGGTAATAATGCCCCTGGTTATAACACCAATGGTGTTATAACGTTATTGTTTACCAGTACGGATTGCCACCGATTGCAATTCCCTGGATATACCACTGAAGTGCCAATTCCACCGCCAACTTTTCACTGAGCAAATGTTCCAATTCCCTGGTTATAATGCCTGATTTTGTGCCAAAATATGGACTGGCCTGATCACTTGAATACTTAACGTGTGTACATAGTGAAGTAAGGCTCTTTATCATTGAGTTCCTTAGTTATTTGCCACCCCGGTTATAACGCCATACATGCTCCTGGACCAATGTTGGCGTTATAACCGGGGTACACTACATTATATGTAGATCATTGTTTATTTGTGTACCTCGTGTTCCCTAGACGTCTTATTTCAAATCTTTCATTCGTTCAGGATTTTCATGTGTGTTGGTATTCCTTAACTATTGTTATGCGTCGATTGCCGCATTATCTCCTTTTAACTGTCACACGAGTGAAACGCATTAGTGTTGTGAACGGGCAAGTCTATTTTCCACAGAACCGCGTTATTATATAATGTTTGAGTTCGATTTGTATCCCCCCCAATACGATATTGCAAAAATGACTGTTATTAGTCAAGCAGACTTCGAATATACAAGGTTACACTTTAAAACAAGCGAAAAATTTCTGTAATCGTAAGATCCTTCCGCTAACATCGAGTCTATGGTACCATTCCAAATATGAGCTATGCTTAATGTGTGTACATAGTGAAGTAAGGCTCTTTATCATTGAGTTCCTGCCACCCCGGTTATAACGCCATACATGTTCCTGGACCAATGTTGGCGTTATAACCGGGATACACACTACATTATATGTAGATCATTGTTTATTTGTGCACCTCGAGTTCCCTAGACGTCTGAATTCAAATTTTTCATTCGTTCAGGATTGTCATGTGTGTTGGTATTCCTTAACTATGGTTATGCGTCGATTGGCGCATTATCTCCCTTTAACTGTCACACGCGTGAAACGCATTAGTGTTGTGAACGGGCAAGTCTATTTTCCACAGAACCGCTTTATTATATAATGTTTGAGTTCGATTTGTATCCCCCCAATACGATATTGCAAAAATGACTGTTATTAGTCAAGCAGACTTCGAATATACAAGGTTACACTTTAAAACAAGCGAAAAATTTCTGTAATCGTAAGATCCTTCCGCTAACATCGAGTCTATTGTACCATTCCAACTATGAGCTATGTTTGTGTTAATGGCATGAATCACTATTAAATAGTAAGGATATGAAGTGTTCAGAAAACATGAATCAGATTATTGGGGGTGGGGGGATGTGATGTAATATAAATTTGCTATGAGGACAAGGATGTTTCATTTTTCAATTTGTTTTCTTAAACATTCCTCGTACTCCTTTTTATAAGGCTGCTTAAAGTGTTTGCATTTTGAATCCCTTATTTTCATTTTAAAACATTATGTTTGCCCGTTTTTTAATCATGCTAAATGTCTTTTGCTTTGACACGGGTTTCGTACAGATGTTGATTTGATGAGATGTGTTTCACAAAACAGTCGGTAAACAAGGAAACGAGGTTGTTGTTTTAACTCTACTCTGAGCGGGTTGATGGTATCGTTTTCCTGTGGGTAGTGGTGATATTTCCTGCTGGAACCCACTGAATTTTCTCAAAAGCTGGAAGAACTGGAATGTTTCAAATTATATACACAAAGAACTTAATTAAGCACCCTCTGTATGTTTGCAATTATTTTCAACACGTACATAAACGTTCTCGTGGTGACCACGCTGGAAAAAACATGAGTTTTTCTGACTCGAATGATCCTTTGACTCATAAAAAACGAGAAAATGATTGGAACATACATGCTGATTTTATAATGATGATTGCTCATTTAAAAAGCCCACTGATTTTCATACAAAACCATATCTGTACAAGTATGGCCCTGGAATGTTTAATGTCATTTTGAATGCCTTACACGATTCAAGGTCAAAACCGAGTGTAACCTCCATGTGAATATGGTAGTCAGCACTCTCCTCCCCATACCCCCTGTCATCCTCCTGATCCCACCGAAAGGGCAGTCTCATTTCTCATGTAAAGCAGCTTCCAGTTGGGCCAGGTTCTGTACAGGAGGATCCTGTTCTTTGTGTATATCTAACGTCCGTGTCCCAGTTTTTGAATCAGGTTCTCGTTGAAGGTATCTACATTCAGTGTTGTTATTCAGATGTTACTATTCAGATGATTTGAATTTAACAGATGTAATATTTTGTTTTGTGTATATATTTATCAGAGCAACTTTTCATTATGCTTTATGTAATATTTTATGAAGAAAATACATTTTACGAACCCGTCTCTCATTTCTGATTCTACTGACACATGCTGATGTTGACCCTCCGTAAACATTCGAATTAGTACAGGGCCCCGTTCCACAAAGCGATCGTAGCGCTAAGATGATCGTAACTCCGAAACTTTAACATAGACTTACGACTGTCGTAGCGCTACGATCGCTTTGAGGAACGGGGCCCTGGTCTTCAGCAACTCATGCTTGTTGTAATTGGTGGGGTAGTCTAGTGGTTAAAACGTCCGCCCGCCTCGCCGAGACCTGTGTTCTTCGATTCCCCAGATGGGTACAATGTGTGAAGCCTATTTCTGGTGTGCCCCCCCCCCCCTTCTCTCTCTCTCTATCTCCCCCCTACCCCGTGATATTGCTGGAATATTGCTAAAAGCGGCGTAAAACTAAACTCACTTTCTCACTCACTATCCGGATTTAGTAGATAGATGCTGGTGATGTCAGTCACGGAATTGTCTGGTCTAGACATATTTTACAGACGCCGTAGTGCAGCTTTAAGTTTGCTGAGTGCAGCGTTAGGCAATAAGCAAACAAAACGGTAACTCTTCAAAGCCGATTGCGTGAGTGGCTGCTCAGCAGGAAACATAAATCTTATCACATTGGTTATTTACTGTCTCTAGCGGGAGAGTACTGTGTCGCTCGTTTTCAATCGGGGAAATTTATCAAGGGTATTTGGTGTATTTGCTGAGAAATTAACTCTTAGATTTCGAATAATGGAAGTGGATCCTTGTACGCATAAGGGGCGCATCTGCACCCAAGATATTTCACAAAACTGTCAGCCAAAATCACCCTTGAATGCGCAGCTTGATCCATGTATGGTGCAATATGGCTTAAATTCACTTTGGAGGTATTTCTTTAAACTTAAACAGTGTGTGGCAGCTTGTGCAATGTAGAATTCCATACTTACGCCGGGCTCATGGTATTTGGACTGTTGGATTGTATAATACATGTAACTCAAGTGTATATGGGCCGGAGGCCTGAAATACAATAAAGATCTTTGACTTGACTTTGAGATGACACGTCCAACATGGATACCCTATTCAAACACATTACACTGACTCCGACCTGTGAAGATCCGGGTTACAATTTATCTTCAGCAGCCCATGCTTGTCGTTAGCGTTGACCATCGTATCCCAATTGCGTTGACGGATGCTCATGATGTTGATCACTGTATTGCCTGGTCCAGACCGCTGCCATATAGCTGGAATATTGCTGAGTGCGGCGTTAAACAACAAACACAACCGAGTCGACAGGCCTTAGTTCATCCCCTCATGCTGTACAGCAGCCAGGGTAAGAACAAGTACCATCCTTTACCGCCTTGTGGTATGACGCGACTGGGGATTCAAACGCCGTTCTTCTACCCATCCCTGTCACCCCGAACAGAACAAGGTGTATAACAGTACGTATGCATTAACGTTGCACAATATCGACCTGCAGTGTGATAAACCTCCTCCATAGAGTCAGTTTCTTATTTATTATCCGCTGCCGAGTCACGATAGTTCTGTACGGTTATAAATCTGCCACAGGTCAGCTTGGTGTATGTACGTGTGTGTTCCCACGGAGGTATGACAGACCTGGTTGCCGTTCCCGACTACTCTGATTTACAATGTATCTGCGGACGTATTACTCATTTAGAAACTATTCTGATCGGATACACTATTAAACCAAACACTTGCTCTTTTGTCGTGCACATTATACACATGAATTCACACTTGAACAGTTATGCACTGATGAACTCCTAAAGGAGAGAAAGTACTCGCATATAAAAACATTATTTTGAACTCATTCATTCAGGCATTCACGCACGCGCGGGCACACATGCACACGCACACACACACACACACACACACACACACACACACACACACACACACACACACACACACACACACACACACACACACATACATACATACATACATACATACATACATACATACATACATACAAACGGGCACTGTATATAGCATGAACCACAGACGTGTAATGAACATTATACTCAAAACAGATCTTCTGAGGTAGGCTTGCTTTAATTGTATTGTCCTGAAATCGGTACATGAGTGATTGAGTATAGTGTGGGAGTGGGTATGGTTTTACGGCTCTTTTAGAAACAACCCTCCTATATCTCGACAGGGACACAAGAAATGGTTTTCACGTAATGGAGGTGAGGTGAGGTAAAATGGGGTTTAAAACGTCGTACTTGAGAATATTTCGGTCATATGACGACGTCCATGCGTGTGTATGTATGGCTGTACTAGCCCAGATTTAAGCTTGTCTTATAGTGCCAGCTCACTGAGATACCATGCCGCAGTGAAGCATGAATATCCCAGACACATTATACTGACTCTGAGCCGACCAGTCCTTGGTGTACCCATTAATGCCGAGAGCCAGACAGGGACCAACGTCTTTTGGTATGACGCGGCCGGGGATCGAACCCGCGACCTTCCGCTCTCCGGGCATATTTCACGTAATGGAACCATGTAGGGGAACCGAACCGGGGCCATCGACGTTACACGCGATGCTTTAACCACTAGGCTACCCACCGCCTGGTCAGTATGAATAGGAATAAAATATGTTTTGTAATGTCACAATGCCGCTGTCAGGTTCACCTGAGCTTTCCCCAGATGGGTAGAATGTGTGTAGCCCATTTCTTGTGTCCCCCGCCGTGATATTGCTGGAATATTGCTAAAAGCGGCCTAAAACTAAACTCACTCACTCACCTGAGCTATATCGAGATGTGGAAATCACGGTTTTCAAACCTGTAATGATCTACATCAAACGGTATTTAATGATATCCGAAACAGATATGTGTTAAAGAGTTTATTTCGAGTAGAAAAGTCACAGAAAATTACATGCGTGATCAACTATGTCTATGACACAGATACCAGTGTGATATATATGACGGGCATTCAACACATATGAGTCATGTATGTCACGTGGTACACAACAATCACTCTATCCGGCTCTAAAGGTCCAGTTGTACATGCAGCCTTAACTTCGTTCCCACATGTACAGTCACGACTCAGTGTGTCATTTTGACAGCGGCCATGGCCACAGACGGAAATAGATCGGCGAGCCGGAAGAAATCACATAATTATATTAAATGTTGCAAAGTAGGTCACGTAGTTGGTAGCAACGTCCTGTTGTCTGGGTGATGTGACTGCTTTAGTAACTCAGTCAACACTGATGATATATTCAGTTACCAGATCAGGAAACATTCAGATTTCATGTTCCGCTCACTAGATTACATTTGGAAATACTGTATGTTAGAAACTGCTCAGTACTAGTCTCTCAGTGATCTTCACTTATTTGAGCAGTATAACACGTTCATATGCTACAGTAAATACATTTAAACTATTTAAAGGGTCGTAGAAAAGTATAATACTTTATGGATAACAACTTCTTTATTTGTTATGATGCGACGTTTCGGTATAGCTTCTTATACCGTTGTCAAGCAAGACAACGGTATGAGAAGCTATACCAAAACGTCGCATCATAAAAATTAAAGAAGTTGTTATCCATAAAGTACTTTACTTTTCTATTATCCATCAACTTTTAAAATGCTAATCAAACAGATTATTTAAAGGGTCACTTTCCACTTGTCGATCGTAGCGCTGAGACGGTCGTAACTCCCATACTTTAACATAGATCAACGGTAATCTTAGCGCTACGGTCGCTTTGTTGAACGGAGCCCAGAGAGCCTCTGTTCAAAACAACCTTAGAGCAACGTCAGCTGTAAGTCAATGTTGAGGTAGTTCACACTGCGTTTTACAGCGATAAACTGGTTACCTTACAGAGCATAATTTGGCTCAGGGAAAATTGGTCGGTGGACATTTGGCAAGGCAGAATTGGTCACTTTTGTTTCTAGATGATGATTATTATTACCGACTTTATTGCTATTGCTATTGTGACACTGCTATTGTAAATTCTGCGTTTTACACTGAATTCATGAGCGTATAGATTTGGGGGTTAAGCAAATATTGTTTCACTTAGGAAGTAGACAAGTGAGTGAGTTTAGTTTTACGCCACACTCAGCTATATGGCGGCGGTCTGTAAATAATCGAGCCTGCATCAGACAAGCCAGTGATCAACAGCATGACCATCGATCTGTGCAATTGGGAACCGATGAAATGTGCCAACCAAGTCAGCGAGCCTGACCACCCGATCCCGTTAGTCGCCTATTACGATAAGCATGGGTTACTGAAGATTCATTCTAACCCTGACCTTCACGGGTCAGGAAATAGACAAGTACTAAATGTAAAATAACTCATTACAATTTACAGTAAATGCTCAGCGAGGACGTGAAAAGTGACCCCCGCTGATGTCCTAAAGAAGCGAATCAGTAGTATGTGTTTAATGCGATCTTCCAGTAAACAATTGAGGTTACATGTACATTTCTAGGAAAAACGTTCAAGTTTTAGTGTGATAGAAAATGAGCCGAAATATCTACTGTGATAGAAATTCATATCCAACCTTCCTGGTGTGTAAGTGTGTCCTACCCGATCAGTGGTTTCCATTACAAACACATGCAAAGGCACGTTCGTCTGTCGCCACTTTTTTTGTAGGATTCATGTAAAAGTACCTAAATCCAGGCTAAAACATACACAATACCGCTAGACAGTATCTCGTTTGCTATAAATGACTGATCATCGAGGTCAGAGTTGAACGTGATATAAACAGATTTGTCCTGTCACGTATGCTCCAGGTAAGAAAGGTAACCTAGACTTAAAGATACATATTCATACGAACAAAACGGGAACTTTTATAAGAAGCTCCCGGCTGCACAGACAGGAATCAAGTTTCTTGCACATTTGATTTTAAACAATTTCACCCTTAGAACATCGTTATTTCCTAGTAAATCCCATCCACGCAAAATAAGAACACGCCGAGAAATTATCATTTGGATGGAAGTGAGTGAGTGACTGAGTGAGTGAGTTTAGTTTTACGCCGCTTTAGCAATATTCCAGCAATATCACCGCGGGGAGACACTAGAAATGGGCTTCACACATTGATCTCATATGGGGAATCGAACCCATGACGGCATGACGAGCGAACGCTTTAACCACTGGGCTACCCCACCGCCCTGGATTGATGGATGGAAGTTGAGCAGTGAAATGTACACTTGCACGTCTTTAAGCATTTGTGTAACACCCAGTCACTACTGTAATCATCACCATTACTTAATTTCTGATGTTCTTTCTATAAACAATATGGATGGGTAACTTTTAAGTTGCAAGTACAATTTGTGCAATGGACACTTAAAACAGTAATCACGTCGTGCCTCACTGAGCTAACATACTGACGGAATAACACATCAGATATATGATGAACACATTGGACACCAATGTGTTTCCAGCATTAACTTCCGATATACAGGACTTGGGTGGCGTGGGAGAAAGGTTCTGACAATTGGGTACGGACAAGCTACTACACAGATCTGTTGTGGTGAGATTTTTTAGATGGACATGGTGCAGTGACGCTGGCTTGTAGCACATTACGTCTTCAAGTTTCAATTCAGAATCTCTCTGACTAGCTTCAAGAAGCCACACCAAACCACAGTCGCAGTTTACAAGGAAGCTATGAAAGCTGAAGTTCTTCCCCATCTGTGATCGAAGCTTTTCGACAGTATTACATTCAAGGTAATTAAACGTGGCATGGTAAATGTCCATGGTTGTAACATTCGTAAAATCGTCAATTGCAGAACTTTGCATTTCAGTGACGTTCATATCAAACATCATGAACGTATCAATATCGCTGAACTTATACATGGCAAACGATTGGATGAGTTCAACTTCTATTGAGTGAATCTGGAACACCTTGAATCCTTGGACGTTTGTGAAGGCGAAAGACTCAATCCTGCTGATGGTTGAAGAAGACAAGCTGAAGTCCATTCTACCGGAGCCGTGTATGTTGTTAAATGCGTTTGCTTCAATGGTGCCAATCTCACAAAGATCAAAGTTAATGTCTGTTCCTGAGGAAGGGAATGCGCATGGCTTGATAACGCCTATGCTGACCTGGCGGAAGTGGAAGTACTCAACATTTGGAGCATCCTTGAAGGCGTTTGATGGTATCTCGGGTAGTAATGACAAATATATCTCCACTCTTCGGGCCGATGTTTTGAAGGGTTGAGGTAACGCAGTCAGTTCAAAACAAAAGATACGGTCAAGTTCACATGTGCACCCTGTGATGCAGGAAGTCTCACCACTCACAGAATATGCCGCTAGCATAACAACGACGGCCTGAAACAAAAAAAATAAATCAAAATATAGTTTGATTGTTTGTATTTTAAACGCTGCACTGGGCAATATTCCAGCTATATGGGGTTGTAGGAATGAAGCTTGGACAAGACAATTCAGTGGTTTCTATTTATATCAAAATCAAATTTAATTTGTTAAAAATGAAAAACTAATTTAAACTTTAACCCCATCGATGCACTTTGAATCTCAATTAACCACGACACTGCGTATCAGCGTAATGTGGAAGGCAGATGCAAGTAATGAAAGTTTTAGATTCTTACCATTTTGGTGCTACACTGATGCGGACATATACAATTGTTATAAGCCAGATGAAACTCTCTCTCTGAGTGAGTGAGTTACGTTTTAGGCCGCTTTTAGCAATATTCCAGTAATATCACGGCGTTGACACCATAATTCGTCTTCACACATTGTACCCATGAGGGAAATCGAACCCAGGTCTTAAGCGTGACGAGCAAAAGCATTAACCCCTAGGCTACCCCACCGCCCCTAACCCACGTGAACGGGTAACCGGAATGCCAAATTAAAGCCTTGCTACAAATCAAATTGCCTAATTTTTACTGTGCAAAAATGAATAAATGCACCTCCCCGTATATACACTGGTAAAATAAGACACCTCTCACTATTTACTTCCTTGACAAATAACGTTTTCGATAATCGTGTCGTGTATGGTATTACCTGTTAAAACACATCGATTGGCAAAGAATTAAATGCCGGAACTAAAATCATAGTAGGTGTTTGTTTATTTTAGTCTCATCTTGTACATACATAAAGTTATAAAGCTGTGCATGCACAAGCCGCCAGAAGGCTATAAGAGACTTACAAATCATTAAAATACGTGAGATGGATAAAATAATTAAAATAAATTACATAAAATTATACAGTTGAAATAAAAAACATGACGCGCACACACGTGTACACATAGTATCAGTGGTAAAACAACGAGGCGCTCACACAAAGATACACGTGCACAGGTATTATGTATCTGCATTCATTTTCACATTCACCACTCATACTTACACATCCAAATATATACACCCACAACCAGAGTTAAATTCACATGTACAAATATATACACCCACAACTACAGTTATTCTCACATGTACAAATATATAAACCCACAACCACAGTTATACTCACATGTACAAATATATACACCCACAACTACAGTTATTCTCACATGTACAAATATATACACCCACAACCACAGTTATACTCACATGTACAAATATATATACCCACAACCACAGTTATACTCACATGTACAAATATATACACCCACAACCACAGTTATACCAACACATGTACAAATATATACATCCACAACTACAGTTATACTCACATGTACAAATATATACACCCACAACCACAGTTATACTCACATGTACAAATATATACAAATATATAAACACAACCACAGTTATACTCACATGTACAAATATATACCTACCCACAACCACAGTTATACCACACACATGTACAAATATATACATCCACACACCACAGTTATTCTCACATGTACAAATATATACACCCACAACCACAGTTATACTCACATGTACAAATATATACACCCACAACTACAGTTATTCTCACATGTACAAATATATAAACCCACAACCACAGTTATACTCACATGTACAAATATATACACCCACAACTACAGTTATTCTCACATGTACAAATATATACACCCACAACCACAGTTATACTCACATGTACAAATATATATACCCACAACCACAGTTATACTCACATGTACAAATATATACACCCACAACCACAGTTATACCAACACATGTACAAATATATACATCCACAACTACAGTTATTCTCACATGTACAAATATATACGCCCACAACCACAGTTATACTCACATGTACAAATATATATATATACCCCACGACCACAGTTAAACTCACATGTACAAATATATAAATGCACAACTACAGTTATACTCTCATGTACAAATATATACGCCCACAACCACAGTTATACTCACATGTACAAATATATACGCCCACAACCACAGTTATACCAACACATGTACAAATATATACATCCACAACTACAGTTATACTCACATGTACAAATATATAAATGCACAACCACAGTTATACTCACATGCACAAATATATATACCCACAACCACAGTTATACTCACATGTACAAATATATACACCCACAACCACAGTTATACTCACATGTACAAATATATATACCCACAACCACAATTATACTCACATGTACAAATATATACACCCACAACCACAGTTATACCAACACATGTACAAATATATACATCCACAACCACAGTTATACTCACATGTACAAATATATACACCCACAACTACAGTTATACTCACATGTACAAATATATACGCCCACAACCACAGTTATACTCACATGTACAAATATATACATCCACAACCACAGTTATACCAACACATGTACAAATATATACATCCACAACCACAGTTATACTCACATGTACAAATATATACACCCACAACCACAGTTATACTCACATGTACAAATATATACACCCACAACCACAGTTATACTCACATGTACAAATATATACATGTACCCACAACCACAGTTATACTCACATGTACAAATATATACGCCCACAACCACAGTTATACCAACACATGTACAAATATATACATCCACAACCACAGTTATACTCACATGTACAAATATATAAACCCACAACCACAGTTATACTCACATGTACAAATATATACGCCCACAACCACAGTTATACTCACATGTACAAATATATACACCCACAACCACAGTTATACCAACACATGTACAAATATATACATCCACAACCACAGTTACACTCACATGTACAAATATATACATCAACAACCACAGTTATACTCACATGTACAAATATATAAATGCACAACTACAGTTATACTCACATGTACAAATATATACTCCCACAACCACAGTTATACTCACATGTACAAATATATACGCCCACAACCACAGTTATACCAACACATGTACAAATATATACACCCACAACCACAGTTATACTCACATGTACAAATATATACATCAACAACCACAGTTATACTCACATGTACAAATATATACACCCACAACCACAGTTATACTCACATGTACAAATATATATTCCCACAACCACAGTCATACTCACATGTATAAATATATACACCCACAACCACAGTTATACTCACATGTACAAATATATACATCCACAACCACAGTCATACCAACACATAAAAAGTACAGAAACACACATATGTAATGACATGTTAATTATGCTATGTAACGAATCCTTGCTAAATGTTTGACCACCCTTTGAAATGCTTTCTTCAGATGTTCAGAGTAACTTTGTCTGCGTTAGGTTAGAATTGTTCTTCAGCTACATATGCTTGTCGTAAGAGGCGACTAACGGGATCGGGTGGTCAGGCTCGTTGACTTGGTTGACACATGTCATCGTATCCCAATTGCGTAGATCGATGCTCATGCTTTTGATCACTGGACGGTCTGGTCCAGACTCGATTATTTACAGACTGTCGCCATATAGTTGGAATATTGCTGAGTGCGGCGTTAAACAACAAACCACCCAACCAAATTTATGAAGATTGACTCATGAGAAAATTATGTTGATGGTTAAGTCACAATCGTGCAGCGGACTCTGCTTTCGGTAGGGACTGCTTACATATGATAATTGCAATATTTCCTGTCGCTTATGTTTTACTCAGATGGTATGATCGATAAAATAAATACACACGGTTTGCGCCAGCTGCATGCAAGGTATCGATGGTGTATAGGGAATGTATCCGAATGAGATCAGTACATTGTACTCGACCTTTCAAAATGATATACTCTCCCAAAAACGAAACGCATCATGAAAATAGCAATTTCATGTAGCAATGAAATAAAACGATTTATTTTACAAAAGGTTTTGCTCTGTTTATGAGTCCTATGGTGTTTATGTTTTGAAATATCACAAGAAAACGCACCATCCGTAAACTACCCGTATTTAACTGCATCATTTTCAATTTCGGCGTGTAGTGTCACAGAATACACAATTCACATGCAATGCACGTGGAAGTTGGGGATCAGATAGTCTCAATGATGGGTATAAAAGGTTGATCGCTGTCTGTCGATTATTCACTGTATTTGGAATATTGTTGACGAACGCAAAATGCCACGTCTAAGTGAAGCCATCCGTCATATCGCCATTGGTTTGCTTGAAGCTGGCAAGTCTCAACGTGCAGTTGCCCGACGCATGAATGTTCACCAAAGCACCATTTCACGGCTCTAGGAGATATCGCCGGCAGAATGCGGTAGCAGATACCCCTCGTAGTGGGCGACCTCGAGCGACCACTGCGGCGCAGGATCGCTACATCCGGGTACATCCCCTGCGTCATCGAACATTAAGAGGCTAGTTCGTAATATCCGTCGGTTTGTAACAAGTGTGATCTTTATAATCGTAGTTTACTGATGATTAAAACCTGTTGTTGTACAACAAACATAATCTAATTTCACAGACACGGTTTTATGATTTAAAAAAAGAAGCAAAAGCTATCGTGCATGTGTTAAACACGTATATAATGGGCATGTCCGTTTGGATTTCAGAGTACTATCACACAGAGATGTAATATCATCAATTTAACACAGATACACCATTCAGACACACAGTGTGTTGACCATCACCTTTACGTGAGCGCCAGGGAGGGTAAAACAAGTTTCATTTTGTAAGGTATCTTTTACGACGCGAGCAGGGTATAGACAAACCGACCTTCCGCCTTCCGGGCAAACGCTCTATCTATTACACGTCATAGGCAGTTAGGATCACTAGCACGTTGGTAAAATGATAGACCAAGCTAATCGGGAGCGACATATGTATAGTAACTTATACAAAGGACTGTGTCCTTAATCATTAGAAGTGATTCCGACTATATGAGAAACGTGTTTGTGAAGTACTTTCAAAT